TGCTGTGTCTGCCTTAGCCAACAAACACAATAAGCAAAATTGTATGCTTCATCTGCTATAATAGGGCCAATTCTCATATTTCAAAATAACTATCCAACCCTAGTCTAAGAAATCCTTCCCATGAGGCATGACTAACTTCAATTTTAAGTAAAAGAATTTGGTAAATGAGTCACTTTTCATCTGTTCAGAAAGACCTGTATATTTCCAGATAACCTTATTCTCTGTAAAGGTATCTCATTTCCACCCTGCCAAATAAAATTATATTAAATTTAAAAATATATAAAGTTATATGAGAGAGAATAAAGTAGATATTGATTTGGGCTGTTGGCTAGTGTTGAACGTTTCTTCTTTGTGTTATAGCTATCTTAGAGAACAAGTCAGAGGGGGAAAATAGTTACAAGGTCCCAGACTGAGCACTCAGCTGAGGGTTTTGTTTGCATGTATGTAGAGTCTATTGTGACAGTACAGGGTTGCCTCAGAGCCTTAAGTTTAAGCAGAACGTTCCCATGGATTTTGGGGGAGTTGCTCTGCTTGTTTTGGCCACAGATGGAGTTCAGAAATGGATATGGGCCAGGAAAGGACAAAGGGAAAATTTCCTGCTGATTCTCACAGGATGGCCTTGAATGAAATGCACTCATGTAACTCAGCAATCCTCTCATTTTGTGAGCAGGCTAACTCAGGTTTCTGAAGTCACATTGGGTACCTTTGACTCATGCTTCTTCCTTCATGGTGCCCTTTAAAGAATTAAGTCCCCAAATCCTATCCCAAGCCCAGTGCTTTTTTTTCTTTATAATGGGTGCTTTACCACATTCAACCATGGCTTAAACTGTGCCTCACGGTGGTTGACTCACAGACCCTTTACATCAGCCAGAGCCTTTCTCTTCTCCTGCATCCCTGACTGCCCGGCAAGCAGTCCCACTTCTGACTGCAATCTCCACCTCCAACTTAGCATGTCCCAGACATACCCATTGCCTCACCCCTATAAGCAGCCCTCCTGATTCCTTCTTCCTATCAACAATACTTTAATGTTCCTGGCAGATACTTTTCATTTTATTCTTCCTTGAAATCATACCTAATCAGTCACAAAAGGTCATCAAATCTTTCTTCATGAAGATCTCAGTCCCTTGTGCTAGAGTCTAGACATATCCAGGAAAGAAAGAAGCCAACTGTGTGTCCCCATGCTGTGGAAAGAACCAGGAAGTGGATCTTTGTGTATGTGTGTATTCTATTATTTATTTATTGATTGATTTATTTAACTCTTAAAATCTTTATTGTTGGAAGTATTACATATGTCCCCTTATTTTCTCCATTGACCTCTTCTAGTCCACCCTTACCTCCTGCCCCACACCCCCAGACCTTCACCACACTATTGTCTGTGTCCATGGGTTATGCATATATGCATACAAGTTATTTGGTTGATCTCTTCCCACCCACCCACCCTAATGAACAAAATAATACTGAAGACCAATGCAGTCCAAAGTCAAGCACAGAACAGAGCTCTGAGGAGAGCCAAAAGTTGGCACTGGATAGTAAGTCATCCACCAGACCTACAGAACTGATGTGAGGTCATAATGAAAGGGAAGTCAAGAAGTTAGGAGCAGGAACCATGCCTGTCTTGGTTATCATTGAATCCCCAGAACCTAGCTCATTGCTGGCTCACAGTAGGCACTCAATAAATGTCCTATATTCCCAAATGTAAGGTGTTTGTTATAATCTTTCATTCTACCTTTTTTAAAAATATATATATTTTATTGATTTTTCACAGAGAGGAAGAGAGAGGATAGAAAGTTAGAAACATCGATCAGCTGCCTCCTGCACACCCCACATTGGGGATATGCCCACAACCAAGGTACATGCCCTTGACTGGAATTGAACCTGGGACCTTTCAGTCTACAGACTGACACTCTATCCACTGAGCCAAACCGGTGCAGACTCATTCCTCCTTTTATTCAAGACCTCATATTAAGCAACACTCTCTCACTTGTGTTATTTTAAACCACCAAGTAGCATTTGGGGGTGACACATCAGGCAAAAGCAATGTTCATCAATGTCAGTTTGAGGTGGCTAGAGAAGAAACATGATATACTGAATAAATAAGGAAGAAATGCATTTTTTATTTATTTTTTTTTACAGAGAGGAAGAGAGAGGGATAAAGAGTCAGAAACATCAGTGAAAGAGAAACATCAATCAGCTATCTCCTGCACACCTCCTGTTGAGGATCCTTGACCAGAATCGAACCTAGGGCCTTTCAGTCCACAGGCAATACTCTATCCACTGAGCCAAACGGATTAAGGCAATATATTTTAATAAGATTTTGTGAGGTTTTGACTTAACACAAGTGTTAAAATTATAAAAATGTTTTTTAAAAAAAAACTTTTTAAAAACAAGTAATGTAGAGATAAAAAATTGTAATCTACCAGGTAGATTTTTTTTTTTGTTAATCCTCTCCCCTAGGGTATTTTTTCCCATTGCTTTTCTGAAAAAGTGGAAGGGATGGGGAGTGGGTGAAGGAGAAAGAAACATCAATGTCACCAAGGACTTACTGCCTCCCTCACACATCCTGACTGGGGACATGGGAGCAAACTTGCAATCCAGATAGGTGCCCTTGACCAGGAATAGAACCTGCGACCCTTCAGTGCCAGGGCTGAATAGATTAGTTTTGATAGTCATATATTTTGTGTCTTGATGAGTAAATCACAGAATCAAATAATACTGTATATCAAATAATAGAGAGGAAACAAAGATGATAAGCTTTAGAAAACTGTTGGTGAAATAAAACATGCTTGTAATGGTGATAAAAAATACATGAGTAGCAAAACCAGTATTTCTAATTTACATGATTTTATATAATATATTTTTCTAAATATGCATGTATATGATAAATTAATGCACTAAATACCAGTAGACATTTGACAGTTTCTTGAAATCACTAAAACTTATATATTCAAGCACTCAAAACAGATTCCCCATTTTCCAATGAGATAATGCATAAGAAATGTTGTTGAATGAAATAATGACTGAAGGTATAAATAATATTTAAAGAAAAACTTATTAAAGTAGTAGTATTAATAACTTATTCACTAATTCACTGAGTAAACATTGACTGAGTTATTTGGGTGTAAATCAATTAAGCAAGCCTCAGAATGATTTGGTACCAAAATCTACTTTCCACTGAAATGCTGACACCTAAAACAAAAAAGAGAAATATTTTAGCTTTATATTATGGGGGGAAAAATAAACACATAGAAATGTAAAATATTTAACAAACATCCATACTTCTAAATGCAAGTTATTAACATTTTTCCAAAAATTGCTTCATTTATATATTTTATCTTTGATGGATCATTTGAAAGATAATTGCAACTGTGATAACACTTAAACCATATTTCTTAATATTTTAGCATGCATCTAGAAAAATGAAAACATCCTTCTACATAATTATAATACTGTCATTCCAACTAAAATTTATAACTCCTTAATAAGATACATTTCCAGTTAATTCTTGGATTTCTACAGTTGTTCAAAATATTTTTTATCAGTATTTTGGTTTTTTTACAAAAACAAACAAGTGATTTAATGAAACACCACAACTGCTTTTGGTTGTCTTTTTTAAGACTTCTCCCTACTTTTTTTTTTCCTCTTTTTCTCCACTTGACTCAAGTATAATTGACAAATAAAAACTATATATTTGAGGCATACAACATAATTTTACATAAGCATATGTTGTGAAATTATCAGGATCAAACTAATTAACACATCCCTCACCTTACCTAGTTACCAAATTGTGTGTGTGTGCGTGGTAATAACACTTTAGATCTACTATCTTAGCAAGTTTCAAATATGCTATACAGTATTATTAACTGTAGTCACCATGCTATGCATACTCAAAACTTATTCATACTATTGTGAAGTTTTGTACCTTTTGACCAACATCTCACCATTTCCTCACCACCAGGCCATTCTTTGCTTCTGAGAACTCATCTTTTCTAGATTCCACATTTAATTGAGATCATATAGTATTTGTCTTTTTTTATCTGGCTTATTTTATTTAGCATCATGTCTTCCAGGTTCATCATGGCAGGATTTTCTTATCTTTTTGAGGCAACTTCATATTGTTTTCCCTAATGGTTACACCAATTTATATCCCCACTAATAATACACAGGGTTCCCTTTTTCTCCACACCTTTGCCAACACTTGCTATATCTTATTGTTTTTATGACAGCCAACTTAACAGGCGTGAGGTGAGGTGATAATATTATTATTCCAGTTGCATTATTCAATACTCTGTCAATTTGCATTATTCAATGCAGTATGATTTGCATTTCCCTCATGGTTAGGGATGTTGAGCACCTTTTCATATACCTGTTGGCCATTTATATGTCTTCTTTGGGAAAACATCTGTATATTCTGGTCCTTCATCCATTTTTAAATTGGGTTATTTAGATTTTTTTAAGTTGTATGTGTTTCTTATGTATTTTGGACATTAACCTCTTATCAGATATATAGTTTGCAAATATTTTCTCCCATTCAGAGAGCTTTTGTTGATTGTTTTCTTTGCTGTGAGAAGCTCTCTAGTTTGATATAGTCCCATTTTATATATATTTTTTGCTATTAAAGACCAAGCCAATTGTCATACAGAAAGTTCCACATTGTGATTATCTCATTGTTTCCTCATGAAGCAAGTTATCATAGTGGCTAATTGCTCCAACATCTGTGATGTAATTTTATCACGTGGTTTAAGGTAGTAACCAGGCATGTCATCTTGGAACCCAAGGGTGATATATTGTCATCTTGTAAAAACCTAGTTCCTCATTAACTGTTCACTTAATGGAGTTAACATCTGTTGAGAATGTTTATCTTAACCAATTGCTTCAATAAAATCTACATTTCTGATTACCTCTTCAGTGACCAATTTTCAAAAAGGTTGAAGTCCAAAATTTTAAGATCATACTTTATTGTAACGAGAGAGTACTAACATTTGATTTTATTCTGTTTTCAGCAAAATGGGAAGCCACATTTTTATGAGAAGCCGATTGTTGAATCCTTTGAGGAAGCACCTCTTCATGTTATGGTTTTCACTTACATGGGATATGGAATTGGAACCCTATTTGGCTATCTCAGAGACTTTTTGAGAAACTCGGGAATAGAAAAATGCAATGCAGCTATAGAGCGAGAAGAACAAAAAGTATGTATGCACATCTCCCTGGATCTTTGTCAATGCTATTCTTCTCTAAAATGTTCTCACCAGCAGTGATGCATGTGCAGGTACTAAAAAGAGTGAGGAGCTCAGGAACTCCTCAGGGTAGATGCTATTTATTTCCACCCCTAGACCTCATCCCTGTGTGTTCATGGACTTGTTTTATGCAAATATTTATTAACTATCATTCACCAGATACTAAACTAAAAGTTTTTTTACACACACTATCATATTTAACTTTTATAACAACCCATGAGATATTAAAATACCATTTAGAGACTTAAAAAAAACATAATATAAGAGCAAGACACATGTATGGGGCTATATTCTGGTCTTCTAGTTGCAAGATGAGTATTATTTATGTTTAATCCTAGAATACAAAAGTGTATCTAAATAAAGTGTGAGGTTTTTATTTCATCTAGATCAGGACTTCTCAATGTTGGTACTATTGATATTTTAGACTGGATAATTCTTTCTTGTGGGATGCTGCATGTTCATCATAGAATCTTTAATAGCATACCTAGCCTCTAACCATTAGATGCCATAGCACCCTCCCACACACTTGTGACAATCAAAAATGCCTCCAGACATTGCCAAATATCTCATGGACTTAAAAATCACTTCTGATCTAAATACTTTCTATAGTTAGTCTATAAAAGTCTACACCATCCTCTTTTCACAACGAGTTAACAGGGCAGCCTGGAAAACATTCAAATATATTCAAAGAGTCTGCATTTTGTTAACATGATTTCCAGACTGGTTAAAATTATTTATGACATCATGAACCTTTTTTTCCTAAAAATTGCTTTTTAATACTGAGTGTGGTCATAAATTATTTGACATGATGGAGCTTTAAACACATCTAAATAAAGAAGATGGGTGAGGCATGAATTTCAATGTAATGAGGGAACCTCAAATCTTGTCACTTAGCAACCAGTACTTATAGTAAGATAAACACTTATTACAGTAATGCTTCCATGAACAAATCTCATAGGCATTTTTTTTTCTTTTTGGAATTGCCTTAAGTCAAGTGTATCACCTTCAATAGAAAATAAGGCCCAGAGTTATCATTATAATTCCTCCCATTATATATATTTATATATATATTAGCACCCATTGCCTGATAGTTACTTTTAGCAACTATCAGGCAATGGGTGCTAATATAGAGAGAAGAAAAGACAGTTCCTGCCATCAGATAATTTGAAGCCTGGTATGCAGAAACAAACTCATAAGCAAAGCATATGACAAAAGTGATGATAGGGAGGAGTGCGATGTGGGAATTGGGAATTTGTGTCCTATGATTCATTTAGGAAGTCAGGAAGCAATGATGCTGGGGCTTGAATGGGGAGCAGGAATTTGCCTAGTGATCAAGGCACAAAGAAAGACATTCTCAGAAAAGGGCACTGCCTGTGTCAAGGTATTCATTAACTTATTAATCAAGTCAGATTCTCTTTGAGCATGCATGTTTGCAAGCCACCATGTTACAATCAGGGTATAAGAATAACCAGGGCAGATACAATTCTTGCCTTTAGAGAACTAACCAATAAAAAATTGCAATAGACTTTGATAAGAATACTATAGAGTTAAGAAGAGGATGTCAAGAGAACCAAAAAGAAAAAAACATGGAACCCAAACTTGGTGGTCAGTGAAGGCTTATGGAAGGAAGAGAAAATTAAATTGAGATGTGATGACTCAAGAATAAGTAATAAAGCAAAGGATAAAGCAAGATGGAACAGAAAGAGGTCCAGCAGTAAGAGAAAGCATTGTATATTCAAGGAACCAAGGAATTCAATGACTGCAGTGCTGTGAGAGTGGGAGTATGTGGGGAGAAGATTGAGAGGCAAGTAGGGGCTAGACCATAATGGGTTTTTATAAGCCATGGATATTTATTATAAGAACAATGGGAGGGCATTGAAGGATTTCAGGCAAAGGAATGCATATTTTCAGATTAGAAAGATCGTGTTCACTACCCTATGAAACAGGGATTGCAGGAGGATAACATAGAGACCAAAGAAATCAGTTAAAAGACTTATAGAAATCCAGGTTAAAAAAAAAATCTAGGTGAGAACTTGGGCTGGGACCAAGGTAGTGATAACCCAGCTGGTTAGATAAGATCAAGAGATATTTAAGAAGATAGCAGGAATTATTGGTTTGACCTGAGAAATTGGAGAGATGGACAGATCAAAGACCACACACAAGCTTATGATTTGGGCAGATGAGAAGACTAGAAAGTGGTATAATTCACTGAAATGAGGGATAGAGGAAAAAGACCCAGAGGAGGGGAAAAGTGATCAAATTCATCCTTTGACAAGTTGGGTTTGAAAAATTGGCAGCTAAAGATAGAACTCTAGACTTTCGGAGAAACGTCTCAGATAGATATTGTGGCATCTTCTGCATATCTTGAGCATATCAACATTAATAAAACCCAAAGAAGTAGATGAGGTCTCCCAAGGAATATCTATAGAGAAAAGAGAGAGAGAGAGAGAGAGAGAGAGAGAGAGAGAGAGAGAGAGAGAGAGAGAGAGAGAGAGAGAGAGAGAGAGAGAGAAGAAGAGAACAAAGAATTTCAGAGAATTTTAAAGATGTCAGAGATGGAATTCCAATTCTAGACTAGAAGCAAAGTGACTCTAGAAAACCCATAATGGTTTAGGAAAGAAATAATTTGTGTGTGAATTGAGGAATAAAAGGGAACTAATTTGAGAGGTAGTATCAAAAAGTCTTAAAATTATATAGAAAATAATATAGAGGGAGGAGTGTCAAATTTCTACTTTGGTCAACATGAGGTTGATAGTGGCATACCCATCACAACAAAATGGTCTTGTTTTTGCCTTAAAAAAGAGGTCACAGACACAATTTTGAGGTATAAAATTTTTTAAATGGTAAAGGATATTGAAGCAGTTAAATCAAATAGGGAACAATCCACCATGCTCCCAGAGAAAGATGAGGTTTCTCAGGTCCTAACAGAGCTGATAATGAACTTGGGAAATAAGAAGGAGGGAGCAAGTTATTTTTAGCTACTCTTAGAAGGATCCTCGAAGCCTCTCCCTGACACCAGCTGATCTATTCTAGAAGCTCTTAACACCAATCTGCCTGCTTCCTCAGTATAAGTAGCATGCACACTAATTCAGTACAGAATATTTGCTGAAAGGTGTCAGTCAAGTCTAAATTTCTCAGGGTGGCATCCCTTGGCAGGTTTGGGCTTCAGATCTGCCATCTATCTTCTAACCTGTTCCAATATTTTAGCATTATCAACGCTGAGGGGCTAGTTTGGTTTCCCTAAAGCACTTCATACTTTCAAGCAGAACACATTTATATATATGCAAGTTGGTTCTCAGCATAGACAACTCTAAGGTGGTTGAGGGCAAGAAGGTTATAGGGATATGCTCCTGGGATCAAGAGCTGTACACTTGGGAGGGAGTGAAGGGGAAAGATGGTGAAGGTGATTTGTGATGCATTCAGGGAGCTCTTGGGGTGGGAGAGCCCTTCAGAAGTGTTGAGACAGGGGGGTGAGCCTTCAATGATGATAGATGAGGACTACCTCCAGAAAGGGATTTGACCTTGAGTGGGGCAGCTCCCTTCTTTGAACTGCCAGCCTCCAACACTGAGCATTGGCAAAGGAAGAGATGCTTTAGTCCAAAACAATGGGATAGGCACAGGGCACAGCAGCCTGTCTCTAACACTCCTCACTATTGCTGAAAGAACTGCTTGAAACACCTCTGGGGGAATGAGGGAGTGGGAAGGCATTGCATTCAGTAAAACAGTATGTTGTATTTCTTTTTTTTTCTTTTTAAAATATATTTTATTGAGTTTTTACAGAGAGGAAGAGAGAGGGATAGAGAGTTAGAAACATCAATGAATGAGAATCATCGATCAGCTGCCTCTTGCACTCTTCCTACGGGGGATGTGCCTGCAACCAAGGTACATGCCCTTGACCGGAATCGAACCTGGGACCTTTCAGTCCGCAGGCTGACACTCTATCCACTGAGCCAAACCGTTTTCGGCTGTTGTATTATTTTACAAAATAAATAATGTCCTACCCATTTTTTTAAAATATATTTTTATTGATTTTTTCACAGAGAAGAAGAGAGAGGGATAGAGAGCTAAAAACATCAATGAGAGAGAATCATCGATCAGCTGCCTCCTGCACATCCCCCACCGGGGATGTGCCCGCAACAAATGTATTATACATGCCCTTGACTGGAATCCAACCTGGGACCTTTCAGTCCGCAGACCGATGCTCCATCCTCTGAGCCAAACCAGTCTCGGCTGTCCTACCCATTTGATCTCTGTGAAGTTGAGATCATCATCAGTCAATTGACTCTCCTTCATAGATATTCCTTTTATGTGGCACCCTTTTTAATATGTGTTCTTTCCTTTTGAGCCCGGTTAGATTTAGAGGCTTGCAGAGTAACAGGCCCTAATTAACGGCAATGGCTGCAATCAGTATGTACATTTTTATGGGACTTAGTCACTCGATACTCTATCTCCAGGCTGACCTTTATCCTTTTAATATTGCCCCTAGCCCTGCACTTCTGACAGTAACCTTGCTCTGTGAAAATAAGCGATCCGAGGCACATTTTGAAATCTTTGGCTGGAAGCATGGAATGTGCTGCTTTTCAATGACCATTGGTTCTTTTAGCAGAAATGAGCATTATTCTATTCTAAAAGCTGGGTCACTAGGAGTGCAGAATAGATTGCCCCATAAGACAAACCAGCCATTCACAAAATGACATCAGGAAAGAAAGCACTTCCATGAAGTGATGGTGGACAAGAGTTATTCTTGTTTTAAAAATATCATAAATGGCTGCTGTGGCTTCTGATTATACTCTTAGACTCTTAATTTTCAAATTTTGATCTTATTTTTAATAACATTGTATATATTTAATGGTCAAACTAATGGGCATGTCCTTTTCCTCACTTTTTGTTAATCAAATATAAGCACTTTTTAATTCAATTTCTCTATTTTCTCTCACAGAGATGACTTCTGT